TGTGTCGGGCGAGATTCTCTCCCGTCTGCTTCGGGTAATTCCGGCTAAGTGGTTCAGAGTTATCCTGCCTGGCGGGCAGCTATGAGATGGCAGAGTGAACATGATGGGAAGGAAAGCCCAGAGAGTGACAGCTCCTGTACAGTTTTGGGGGGGGGGGGTAGTTCATTGTTGGGGCACGGGAGGACGGAGGACATGGGCACACAGGGGGAATTCGGACAAAAGGCATCTCCCTGAGAAGACACGCACACACCTGTCCCCAATCCACCCACCCCTCAGCGCTACTTGACTCGGATAGATGCGCCTGGCATCTGTAATCTCGACTTTCCAGAAATAACGGCTGGCCCAGCTCGCCGCTGTTACGCTGTCTTGGCAACAAAAATCTTGTCTTAAAGCCGGGGATCGTATAAGAAGCTTTACCTAATTGCTTACCAGACCAGTCTTCCGTAGGGCAACTCTTCTCTGATTTGAATACAAATTTCTGCAAAAAACAAAAAAGGTATCACTCTAAGGTTAGTTTTGCCTTGTTATGTTCAAGCCTTCACTTAGAATTTCTCCACCGATGGCTTGTCCCTTTGTTCTCGGAGAGGCGGAAGGTGTTTAGAATGAAAATCAATGCATATCACGCTTCTAAAAGAGTATTCAGCGGACGCTGTGGTGAGCATCAAGATTGGAACAGAAACTTCTGGGACCAGAAGGATATTGTCTGTTTTCTTTGAGATCTCACTGACCAGCTGGCATCTGAGACTGTTTCTTTATCTTCAGACCCATGGGAGTCGGCAGATAAGTGTCTCTGATTCATGTCGGGTCTTCCTAACAGATCACTGGTCGTCAGAGCCCTTTGCAAGCAGGGCTGATGTGAACTGGAGATGTAAACTAAATCAGAGAGAGTTTCTTTTTCATTTTATTATTCTTTGTTAGGATTTTTATTGCTATCCTGCAAGTTTGGTGTTCTGCTCTCAGTGCTATTGTATGTGAGAATTTGGTCAGTCGCTGCTTGTGAGAATATAGTCTTGTGGTTCCATCTTTCTGTGGTGATGTGTGTGAGAATTTGGGCTTGTGGTCAAATAATGTGCTGAATTCTGTCAGAGTAAGGTCTTGCGGTCATCTCCAGCACTATTTTTTATGAAAATAGCCTTCTGGAGGCCTTTGGGGTTACTGTTTAACCTTGCACTCTGCAAGATGAGTTCGTGCTCACTCTACTCTATGGAAAAGCAGGTCCATAAATGTATTTCAGGATAACTGACTGCTCTATAAATCTGATCGCTATTCTTATGGTAATCATATGCTGGCTTTCGCTTATGTGTTTCTTATATATGTGGTGAAAATAGCAGCTATCCTTATGGCCTCCGGCTGCGCAATGTTGCTAATGTTGCTGGAACAGAAATCGGTCATAATGCTTATTTGAATTCTTGGACCGTTTGGCTCAGAAAGCAAATTTAGCATCAGCACATTTTTGAGTAGTATTTCTTATATATACAACTAAAAATACCCAACTGGGGGGAGAGATGTGTATTCTGGAATCTACTGTGGGAGTATTATGGGCCCCCAAAAAAAGGAATGAAAGAGAGTCTTTGAAGTCTGGCTTACGTGAGGTGTGGGAAAGTCCGAGCGATAATGAGGTTACGAGGAGAGCGTTGGCGTTGTGGCAGAAGTTTGCACACCTTGGAAATGGAAAATGAACTACAACTGTATGTGGTAATCACTGTTTAGGGAGCATGCTGTTTGAAGCTATTTACGAAGCAGTTTGCTTGTCATAATAATCTATGCAAAAAAAAAAAGCACAGTTGTCATCTCCAGTAGACTTTCATCAAGCTTTCCCGCGAGTCCGGGTCGTGCTGTCGATGATGAGACATACGTCTTGTCTGTACCTTAATGAGGTCTTTTCTTGATTCATAATGAGAGACCCAGATGGGGAGTTCGGGGTATTTATGACGTGCATTGACCTGCGTTCCAAGGTCTGTTCTCCTGATGTTTCATTCCGTCATTTAGAATCTGTTTCACTTCCCCATAAGAGGATGCTGTCGGTCTTTAGGCAGCCCCGAGTCTATGACCGGCTCTTCCACGGATTGCTGTGGCATCACCAGAGCACTACGTCGATAAGCTACACCACTAAGCTACACTGCTAAACACTGCTTGTGACTGGAATAACTTCTTTGACTTTATTTATATCACGTTTTTTTCTGGTAGTTGTATTCCCCAGTTAGGTTTTGAGACTGGTCCACTGTCGCATACACTTATCTCATTAGCACAATAACTCAAGAGGTATTTCATGGTTCTTTTTCATACTTTGCAGACATGTTGGATGAGTCATGCTCTGAAACTGATCACATTTTGAGGCAAATCACATCAAAATAGAAGCATTACTTGCATAGTTGTAGCACACCAAAGGACAGACACGGACACAGATCTGGTGCCAAACACAAAGTTGGGCTTTTCATAAAGATTTTTGAGTAGTTATGATTTTTCTGGAGGTGGGGGGGGGGGGTCTGGGGGGGTAGAAGTTGGGGTGTGGTAGGAATAGGGATTAGATGGGGGGGTGGTAGTAGGAATACGTTGTTGTCATTGCGAACAGCATCTAGTTTAAATCGGAGGTGGGCACAAGCACACAAGAGAGTTGGGCTGCAGGTGTTTGCTGTGAGGAGGTAGCGGGAGAGGAAGGTGTGCATGTGGGTGGAGAGGGCAGCAGGCCGGGGCTGATGGGCTTCAGTAGCGATGTGAGGCAGACTGTGGCATCGCTCACCATCCTTAAACCTCTTTTTGCTCGCAGGGATTGCTTGAGGTCAAAATTATGCCATTCTCTCTCTACTTCTCCCCCCTTCCACTAAAACCATTCACCCTGTCACAGGCTTGCAGGTGATTGATTCCTTCATTTTATATCACTTATTTATTTGCTTATTTATTCTGTTTTGCCTATGAGCCTGTGATTTGGACAGGGTTCGACAGGGCTCAGAAATGAGGGCCGCATGTCACCTGTCTACGAATGCTGCCACTTGGATCAACGGCTTTTTAAGGGATGCCTTCAATATTTCCCCTGGTGTGGTCTGTCGGTTCTGGATCCTGCGGTTCCCTGGTCATAATGTGTTGTGGTCTCACTTGATGAGGAAACTTTACCCCAAGTGTGTATATAGGGGTGTGGTCACAGGGGCACTAGTCCCAGCTGATAGCTGATTGGCTCCCAGGGTGCACCCTCCCCTGTCACTCACAGATTCAACATATATCACTGGCTAATGAAATGGTTGACTGAATTGAGACCCCTGTTATACTAATATGGCCCCCAACTGGTTTATCTAGAACCAGGTTATGTAGGTATTGGTGAAGAAAAATGAAAGGGGTGGGTGAATTTATGTAAGGTTTGGTCTGAGTGTTGTGGTGCTCAGTGCACATACAGGAGCTTGTGCCAAGAGTGACGTTGCACCCGATGTATTGGCAAGAGATCAAGAGACCAAGAGCTACAGTGTAGAGGATTAAACTTCTAGACCTAAAAGTGTGAGCCATGGTGGGGTAACAAGCCTTACTGCCATACCTGCTGTAATGAAAACAAAACCTTTGAAGAACCTCAGTCATTTATATGAAAGTTAGAGATGCATGGTTTATCAGTTTATCAGCCAATATGTATTAAAAATGAAGTTACTGATATTTGTCAGTCTCGGCCGGTATTCCCGTTCGATGTTT